TTTTTTTTTAAAGAAAAATAAAAAAAGTTATAGGAAAACTGTCTAGTTCAGTGGGTCTCAACCTTCCTATGCCACGACCCTTTAATACAGTTCCTCATGTTGTGGTGACCCCCAACCATAAAATTACTTTATGTTTTCCGTATTTTTTCAAAAATGTGTGTTTTCTGATGGCCTTAGGCAACCCCTGTGAAAAGGTCGTTCGACTCCCAAAGGGGTTCCAACCCACAGGTTGAGAACCACTGGTCTAGTTAATAATTATTTTTCTTGACATTATCCATGAAACCTAGGCCAAAAAGAAACTTTTTTGTCCGTGCTGTGTCTTTATAAGGGAATGCTGAAATCTCACAATGTTGAAGTTAAATAATAATGATTTATTAAATTTGAATGCAACAATAACCAAACAAAAATTATAATAACAGATAAAAGAGGGTAAGTGCGACAGACCAAGTGAGGAGACCGTACAGATTTCTGTTTTATATATTTTATTGGAAATTCCTTTACAACTTGAATGCGAGAGCTGACTTCATATGAAAATTGAAGAATTTTCTGAAAACAGCTTTGGTTGGCAGCAGAAATAAAAGGAAGTAAATATATTGGGAGGTACGGTCGACGGAAAGAAAACTTAATTGTATAAATCAACTGAAATGCCTCCTTTCAATTCAAAACATAAGAAAGGTGTTTATTCACTGAATGGACAGGTAAGATTTGGTTAGCAGAACATCAATATCATAGTTGTGAGACTGATTCTCATCATCCATCCATTTCTTTCATCTCTTTCCTTTTTCTATTCCTGTTGACACACAACTGCCAAGAGCCTTTCCAGAAATAGTAACAGCAAGTAGGAGTGAGTCTAAATTTAGAATGCTCTTTTTTTTTAAAGTTCAGATGGACATTCTCCTTAGAGGAAAAATAAGGTACAGTTCCATATTTGCTACAAGGAGATCATGAAAAATATTAATCCTCCCCAGAACGATCTTCAGGACGATTTCCTAAACCATCCCGCTCAGGCAGCGGTGGCCAAGGGGCCATTGGCAGCAGGGGTAAGGGTGGGTAAGGATCATCAGGAAGTGGGGGATTAAGTGATCCAGGAATTCGTCCCGGGTTGTGAGGCCCCAAGGGCTTTGGTGGTTGTGGAAATTTGGGCTGCGGGGGATGTGGTGATACAGGGGGACCTTCTGGCCAAGGTTTTCCAGGCACTAGAGGCCCCAAGGACTGAGGGCCTACTGGTTTTGGTGGTCCTTCTGGCCATGGTTTCTCTGGAACTGGAACCAATGGACTGTCAGGTCTTGGGACGGGAGGAATGCCAGGTGCTCCAGAAGATCCAGGCCTTGAGGGATCTGAAGACATGATGAGATACCATGGAAAGAAGGCGGCCTGGGGAATCCAGAAAGGGGGGAAATGACATTTTTTTAAAAAATGGACAGTATCCATCTGTTAACAGAACCTGATATATAGCAATCAACTTTCTGAATAAGAGACACTCGGAACGCAATAGCAAAATTCATCATCACTATTGACATGTAATGGCAAATACTTGAAAAGACTTGAGAACTGACATAGTAAACATTTGACTTATTTGATTGTCCATGAGAAAGACAATAGAATTGCTAAATTTCAGTTAAAAGCAAACATGGATTTCCAAACAGAACTAGTAACTTGTAAGGAAAAATCTGGACGTGAAAAAAAAAAAGAAAATTTGAAAGGTGAAACTATGATAGATTTCAACATTGGGAGAATTTTAATTTTGGGTTTACCAGAGAAGGAGCAGTGGAAATAATCTTGCCACACCTTTTCCCATTGGATATTTTGTATGTAAGAAAAACTCTAAAAAGACAATTCAGATGCTCATAGACCAGTGGTGGGATTCAGCCAGTTCGCACCAGTTCAGGAGAACCGGTTGTTAACTTTCTGAGCAGTTTGGTGAACTGGTTGTCAGAAGAAATCATTAGGGCAGAGAACCGGTTGTTAAATTATTGGAATCCCACCACTTTCATAGACTATTGCATATCATAAGCATATAATGCAGTCAAGCTTACAAAGCGGTTGACAGACTGCACACTAATCAATGTCTAATGTCCAATACCTCACAGTTTAAACTGACAGCCAAGCCCCTTTGTCTCACATGTATCTTGCCTCAAAATGGCCACGGTTCAAGACCCAGAGATTTTCTTTCTACCATCACTTTTATGACGCTTCTTTCACAGCTAAGCAAGTTTGCAGGAGGGAGGCATGGCTGGGTATTTATGAGGGCCCCAAGACTAGCCAACTGGCTCAGAATCCCACATCTCCATTTTGTATAAAATATCCAGAATGTATAAAATATCCAGAAAGCAAGTTTGCAGGAGGGAGGCATGGCTGGGTATTTATGAGGACCCCAAGACTAGCCAACTGGTTCAGAATCCCACATCTCCATTTTGTATAAAATATCCAGAAAGTGCAGTCTAAATAGCCCACCACATGCTCTACTCCGTTTCTATTTGAAGGACCCATTAAAGGTGCAATGCTCAAAAGCTCCAATATACTGCCGCCAATCTTAAAATTTTGGTAACCAGAAGTTCTTTGTGTTCTTTACCTCCTGTAGGAAATATTGCATATGTTCCTCACCAATGCATAAAAAACCCTATATTTGCTCCCAGGTATCTCCATTTAAAAGTTCAAAGGTGCCAGTCAACAGTCAAAATACTGGTTTAGATGACCAAATAGTTAGTCTTACCTTTTAATGTAAGCTCCTTTCTTTTACAATCTAAAATCTGAGTCATTTCCCTGGTAACATTTACAGTATTTGCAGCATTCACAGTCTACTTTCAATGACATCTGATTCCCGCTTCCCAATCCACAACTTTCAAACAAATTATCTAGATGTTATCTACCTAAAAGCTGCAAAAGGATGGTTCTAGTTCCCTCTGGACGGCAATGGTCTTTGGTGTGCAGCAGGTTCTATCTAACTTATAAACCTACGAGGACCAGCAAAATCAGTTGTAGGAGTTACTCAGATGGTTTTGACTCCACCCATTATCTCCTAATGAAAGGTACTCCAGAAGCCCCGATGGAAACATATATCAGCATACCTTGGAGACAGAGATAGACAAGGCAGAGAATACAGGGATATCTGGAGACCCTCAGATTAAAAATATGGGGAAAAGACTCATGGAGGAAACATGAAACTACTCTGGGAAGAAGAGAAAAAAAAAAGAAAACATCCATAGAAAACTAAAATAGTTCTATGGATCCAATCTGGGAAAGTAAGATCCATACTTAATAGAATCAGCGAGGATGACATTAATATTATGAAAGAGTCAGGATAATAAATGATTGCAATAAACAATTATAATAATTAGTTATGTGCCATAAGTCATTATTGTCTCAGAGTAATCACATTGATAGATTTTCTCCATGAGGATCTATTCTGTTCCTATTATTATTATTATTATTATTATTATTATTATTATTATTATTATTATTATTATTATTATTATTATTATTATTAACTAGCAGTGGTAATCTGGCATTGTCTGAGTATTTATTTATAGGGGGAAAATGTCCAGACCAAATGGCATTTTTAATGTTGGATTTTCCCCCTTACCAGAGGGAGGCCCCTTGTGGAGTACCGTGAAGCCGTTACCATAGCAACTCCACTGCATTGTAGTAGAAGCCATTTTATGGCAGTATAGTAGAAGCCATTTGAAGGCACAACAGGCTGTATCATAACACAACAGAATCCCCGGGGTGTGTTAGGGGTGTCTTACCCCCAGTATTGTTTCCAGAGAGTAAGCCATCTGTGTACCAAGTCTGGTTGAAATTGCTTGAGGCGTTCCAGATTTATGCTGGGATACACACACACACACACACACACACACACACACACACACACACAC